GAAACCAATTGCAGAACTCAGAAATATGAAATATCAAAGATCTGTTCAAACATCTAAAGCATCAGAAAACAAATTTCCACTGTAATTTATTGTTATTATACCAGAACACATATTAGTTAGTAGCAATAATATTCAAAAACCTCTCAAAATGCTAAATAAAACGCAAATATTTTTTTTCTACTGCTTTAATTTATTCACAGCTTCTGAACTAAAAATACTAAAAATACAAGTAATAAGAATTACCATTTGTGCCAGCATCTGTTAAACAAGGAAAATAAGGTGTTAGTTATAGCAATTCATTTTCCAGTGTAGTGTTGCACGCTAAATCAACTTGAGCAGTATTTATTCTGAATCTTATTTATAAATGCATCCATTGCCTTTTATGCCCAAGAATTTGCCATCTGTTCTGATCTAAAACTTGGATTTGTTTTATAAATTCAAATATTTTATTGTATTTTTTATTTATTTTCAATGAGCTGCACAATCGGTCTTGCCGATGAGCAGACCTAGTGCGTTCTCCAGAGGTGGTATCCTCTCTTTCATGACCACCACAATGGGTGAGATACATTTGGTCATGTTAATTTGGACGTCTAGTTTCTGCCACACTAGATGGCAGCAGCTAGACTCTTTTTGGATGCTAAATTGCACTAGGAATTTAACTTTTGCCGGAAATGCCAAGAGCCAATAAGGCACTCCAGGGATCTTTTACATGCCGCATAATCATACGACATGGTCGCTGAGGATTTTCTGCATCCCGAAAATCCGGTGTCTGGGCCGGGGATCGAATCCACAGACTTGGGCTCAGAAGGCCGACGACAAACCAACTGCGTCACCCAGTCACACATAAATGTAAATATGGTTTGCATTTCTTATAAAATGTTACCTTAAGTAGATTTTTCACAGATATTTAAATATACTTTTTAAATTACATGACCTTTAAATGCACTTACATTATTTTCAAATACACTTTATACGCTTTCATTATCTTAAAAAACACTTCAAATATTTGTAAAAAATGGTAGTGTTTATTAATAATAACTACGTCACTGGTAAAACCGTGTTCTATACATCAAATTTAACTTAACCTCAGTTTATTCTTAATCTAAACCATATTCTATACTAAAAACATAATGTATTTTTTTTAAAAATAAATACATTATGTTTTTAGTAACTTAACTTTAAAAACTTATCATAGCTACTTGAATATAATTGCATATTTTATTTCAAAAAATTGGGATGTATTATAGTATATAAAATCATACATTAAAAATAAATAAAGGCCGATAAAATTGATTTTACAGACAAACTAGTTTGTCTCGTAAATATAAAATTATCGCATCACTCGAGTATAAACAGAGGGCTTAAATTGAAACAATTTTTATAAAATTACGAAACTAAAGTAATTTCTAAAACAAAGATATATCCTAAAATGTATTTATTAAAACGTCTTATGTCCGGTTTATTAATGGCATTGTTAAATCTAATAGTTTATCAGCATAGCAATCCAACTCATCTTTTTAATAAGTAATATAAGTAAAGTGAGAAGTTTGATTCTCCATCACGACAACAAATATGTTTCTATCAAATTTAAATTTATAATATTACTTATACAGTTGCATTTCTATATTGTTTATTTTTTTAACCTTAGAAATATAATATTCAGAAAAATAAATTAATTCTCTTATTCAAAGATAATAATTTTGCTGAGGAGCCTTTGAGGTGATTACAAGTTTAAAAATGTCAAGAACTAAAATATTTGAAATATTACTTACTTCCAAAGAAGCTTCCAGCTGTTGAATAAAAAAAAATTAATATTATTTTGGTCCATACTTTTTCCATACTGTTTAAGTATATGATAGCATTGAATTTTACTGTTTTCAATTTCAACTTTCAAAACTTTAGTATGAGCTTTCAATTGATACAAATCGGGAGCACATATAGGAATAACAATTCTGAATTAATTGTAAATGTTTTTAAAGTATTTTTTATCCTGTAGTAATTTTTTCACGAAATTCATTCAACTAATTTTTTACTTTATATAATTGCTATATTTCTACTACACGATTTCAACTAATCCAACTAGTTCATAGATTATGCAAAAATATTTAGCAATTTATGCTAAAGTTGCGTGATCACGGGAAATGACTTACTTTTTGGAGAATAGCGATGAAATTTTTTTTTAGAAATCTTAAATATCAGTATTTTATTGTATGTTACAAATTTTGAATCGTGTGAATAAGTATTTTTATCACTTTTAACACGTAATCAATTTGCTTGATTTAAGTTAAAAAAATAAATATACTACGTTTGACTTTTGAAATAAGACTAATGATCTTATTTAGCTCTTCTTTAGCAGAATAGTAACTTAAAAATTATTTCAACACTAATCTTAAAAAAAGAAAATTGCACTGAAATTGTTAGAAAATGTAAAAAAATAGGAACAAAAACTTACCGCCAGTTATAAATGCTGAAATGGAATTTATGAAAATGAAACAAAGTAATTTAAATGAAAAATGTCTCACCGTAGCACATGCATAACACTTAAAGTATAAACTGATCCTATTTTTACTTACTGTTTGCTCCACTTAGGACTATGAAAGAAAGTGTTTTTCATTTAGAATAAATAGTCAGATATAGAAACATTTTAAATTATTTTATTATAATGAAAACAGCACTTACCTGCACCGATAAGATCTGTAAAATAAAATACACGAAATAAATGCATTGAAAATTTTGTATCATAATAATGTTTTCAAATTCATGGTATAATTTTCTTAAAAATAGCAAGTAAAAAGGTGGCGGCAGAAAATATTACTAAACATACTCATTTAATACATTACACTCATATTTGAGAAAATTACATCTGGAAAAAGAATTATGTGACTTGGCCTAAATTACGTGAAACATTAAGGGAGGTAAGACATGCAAATGATTAGAATTGCAAAAGAATTATTCATGCAAGGAACGAGAAACGGCTCCTTAAGCAACCTCTAAAAAACTTCAAACATATGGCTCTTAAACCTCATCCCTATACCTCTCACCAGACACAGTATATATTTTAAGAACACAGGGGAGGTGAGCTGGTATCCAGCATTATGTCTTCCCATATCAGTAAACTTTTGCAACCTAATACTGAATTTCTCGAACATTCAAGAGCAGGCTGGTTCTGGTTCCATCCCGATAAAGATATGTCAAGAGTCATTGGTCAGATTAAAGTAGGACTCATCTGCGAAAAAAACCATTGATCCATGCTCATTCTCTATGATCCGACATGGACTATCCCGTTGTCAGAAGTCAGCAGGACGCAAACAGCGAGACTTCTTGCAAATAGCTGTTGCTCATGAAATCCTTCTGGAAAAAATAACCCTAGAAATTCGGCATGCCGCTTAGACTTCACGAGAGAGTTGAAAATCTTTAGTATGCCTTTAATCAAAAAATACCGATTTTCGCTAGATAAGCTTTCTTATGACAGATCCGGAATCCTGAAATTGGATTTCAGATTGACTTGTTTCAAATCTCCCTTCTATGTTCCTCCTCATTCTAAAATGTAAACATTTGTAGATATTAATTTTTGTTGAAGTAAAATTAATAAAATTGGTTGAGCTTGCTGCAAAAAACACTAAGAAATTCAGCAAGATTTGCGAGAGAATGAAAGGCAGATTTTGCCATGCGTGCTTAGAGAGTCTATTCCTCTACTAAACCAACCTCCACGCACTAACAGTGCTTACGTCCATGACACGCATGATTTACATCTTTGTTTTACTGCAGTAGTTTTAAAATACGTTTGGTTGTTTTTATAAAATTTGACAAAGTATGCAAATTAAGTATTTTAGCTAGATAAGCTTTCTTATGACAGATCCGGAATCCTGAAATTGGATTTCAGATTGACTTGTTTCAAATCTCCCTTCTATGTTCCTCCTCATTCTAAAATGTAAACATTTGTAGATATTAATTTTTGTTGAAGTAAAATTAATAAAATTGGTTGAGCTTGCTGCAAAAAACACTAAGAAATTCAGCAAGATTTGCGAGAGAATGAAAGGCAGATTTTGCCATGCGTGCTTAGAGAGTCTATTCCTCTACTAAACCAACCTCCACGCACTAACAGTGCTTACGTCCATGACACGCATGATTTACATCTTTGTTTTACTGCAGTAGTTTTAAAATACGTTTGGTTGTTTTTATAAAATTTGACAAAGTATGCAAATTAAGTATTTTAGACACCAGTGTATTTAAACCATACTAAAGATGTGTTGAAATCTATTTGTTTTCTTCTGTCTGCCGTAAAAATTTAAATCGTGGTCAATGTGTTCTCATCTCTCATCGTAGGGATCACATAAAATTTAGTAATCACGTAATTTTAAAAATTCCTCTTTTTATTTTGTTTTATAAATTTGATAGTTTACTTGTGCTATTATCTAAAATCTGGGGTATACGTTTCGTTAATTGATGTCAATTCATTCCCGGAGTTGCAAAAGCTAGAAACCATAGTATAGATTTTATCAAAACAATCACTAGACTTTAAATAAAAGCAAAAATACTAGAGTGTCATATTTTGTATTATTATTTTCTTAATCTCTCAAACATACAAACAAATTGAGGAATGCGTTCATTATCATGAATTTTGAAAAATTACTATTTTATCGGCATGTAATTTCTCTTGAACTGCATTTTATCAAGCACAATTTTATTTCACGATGATATTAAAAAATTAATTATGTAAAATAACAAGAAATTATCTAAATTATTACATAAAGTTAGAATAAATTATATAAATTATTCGCAAATTATAAAGAATAAGCATTTCCTTTTGAAGCATTTTAAAATGCTTAACAAAAATTATTTTGACATATAAGTAGTTCTCTAGTAAAGGAATCAATTACTTACCACCTAATCAAAAAACAAATTTTAAGTGAATATAAATTATATTAAAATTTAGTTTATTTTCATGTTTTTCGAATAGTAATTAAACGAAAAATGTCTTACCCTTTCCAGCTAAGAAAAGAATTAATACATAAACTCCTTGTAGATCAGCATCATGAAAATGCAAGTTTACGCAAATAACCACATAAAAAGTTTTAGAAATATGCTCAGCTGTAGCAATATCTTGTTTAAAAAGTTAAAATAAAACTGCTGATAACTTTCATTTTAAAAAGTTGAATTTTTTTTTAAATATTAAAAAAATTGACAGGCATTATAATAAAAAATTAGAGTTTGAAGGTTCTTTAGAGTTGAATTATTACTTACCTTTGCTTCCGATTTCTGTAATTGCAAATCTTATTATTAAAAAATGATTTTAACTAATTTTAATTATTTTCAATCAAAATTATTAAAATATAGCATATTTAAAATTATAAAATATATTAGAATAAATGTATAAAGGGAAACACAATTTGAATGCGTTGAGACAGAATACTTTTTGAGTGCTATTGCCTTTCTAAAGATGTATCCCGTTATAGAAGTATAAGTAATATTTCCTAATTTCGATGGTAATTATTACATAATTTTTATCATATTTCTTATTCACATCATGTTTATTACATCATATTATCATATTTATTGTTTACATTCACATATTGTTAACTTCTGACTAACGGTAGGAAATAATTCTCTGTGTTGTAAGTTTAACTTCCAAACTATTAATCCTCATTGCATAACACTAGAAAAACTGAAAACTGCCTAGAAAATCGAAGAGGGCAGTTTGGCTCATCCTAGATATTTTTAGTTCAAACCTCAAACATGCCTCTAAAATCAAAAATATGCTGAAAATAATTTATTAAAGTTATAAAAGAAGCTGGATCATTTGAGATTTATCGGATTTCTTTTTATCTATATGACGAAAATGTCTGATTGAATGAAATATTTTGCGATTTTGTATTATGCTTAATTTTATGTTGCTCAGATAATAGAAACGTTACTCTCCAAAAAGCTAACAATTACGGATAATTATAGTAAGCAATCGAAAATACTCTATTTCAAATATCGAAGCTGAAAATGTATGATAATACCTGATTTATTTTCAGTTTTCATGCATTTATTAGTGTCAATACTACTCACTTATTTTCAGATACATTTGCCTTAATAGGTGCATTTGCAATAGTATATAAGAATTGCAATAATTACTGAGATATTTTCAGTAAATATAAGTTACTCTGATGATTTTGAAAGAATGGAAAGAGTTAGTAACTTTTTGATATTAATCAAAGTACTTGTCAATTTTCGATATTTATAAAAATGCATATTTCCGTTTTTTGAGTAGCATATAGCATTGTTAATTTATTAAGTTTAATAAACAGTATGTATAGCTTACATACGAATGCACAAGAAATAAACTTACTGTTAAACACCCTATTGACTAAAAAAGAAAAATTACTTCATTAGATTACTTACAGTTTACAATAATTGTTCAGGATTAAATGGTAAAAATATAATTGAGTTAAAACATAATAAATATTTTTACTTTTATTTATTTTATGATGATTTAAATTAGTTAATAGTACATAACATAAAAATATTTATCTCAGTCTTACATCAAGTGGGACATCTTAATAAAATATTTTACAATTGTTTTCATACTTTTGCGAGTACTTGTTTTAGTAATTACATGAAATGTACCTAATTAGTTTGACATTATCCTACGGAGAATGGAAATTATGCACCAAATGGACTTTTTCTATAGAAACTGGTTGAAGCGGCAATTGTCAGACTGAGATGTTAATTGAGAAGGAGAACATATCAGATGGAATTTTGGATTTGTAAGATAATTTGTTAATGTTAAGTATACATATGCTTCCATCAATGCATATTACGATGTGTGAGTCTTGTTTACTTAACGAACCCATCATTAAAATAGAACGTAACATTTTGGTAACTGAAAGTAAAATTTCTTTGACAGCCATGTATTGGCAAATGCACGAAATATGGAATGGATGATGACCTTGCAGTGGAATGAAGAAATTTCACAAACGAAGAAAGTTCTCAATGTTTCATGAGCAGAAACTTTTTCTACTCGTGAAATACGTGTACTAAGTAATGTTCGAAAGCATTTAACGAAACGCAGGGAAAGAACAGTTCAGGCACATTTTGTGCTATTTCTGAAAAAAAAAAAAGATGAAAATTGCAATGTGAGGAAAAAGATCTCACTCAATCTAGAATTAATTTATGTATTTAGAGAAAAAAATTAAGCTCTAATGGAAGATTTATGAACAAATTGAAAATTATGGAACATTTTCGAGTTACGAAGCTTTATTTGTTTATATTCTTATTACGGCAGATTATTAAAGATTTTTTCTAAAATTGAGAGACATTTGTATCATATAGCAAAAACAAATTGGTAGTTTTAATAGACTACGGAATGTGAGGATGTATTTAAATCCTTGAAAAAAGCTTTAAAATCAGCATCCGTTTTAGCCTGATTTGATTTTAGCTAGATTTGAAGAATAGACCTAATCTCTTCGCTGATGCAATTTAAAACGAATTGAATGCTGATTTGCCTCATTAAATTTACGGAAAAGATCACTTAATTACGTAATGGAGCAAAAGCTTGTCAAATCTTGAACGTAACTATTGCGTAGCCAAAAAAGAAGCTCTCAAATATTTTCATAATTATTTATACAGATTAAAATTTTTATTAAGCGCAGGTCACTCTGCATTAACGTGGCTTTTAAATTTGCTTGAATAAGGAGACATTAAGATGTATCTGTTCCTTATTTATGTTATTACTCATCTGTGAGTAAATTATATTCTTATTTGTCATCAGTCTTTTTCATTAAAAGTATATATCATTAAAATAGAACGTAACAACATTATTTTAAGGCTTTCACGGCCTGCGGAAATGAAATAAAGCTCATCATCACACTCGCATACTCCGAGTTAATACGCATTAAATAGTATTAATTTAGCTATAGAAATTTTACTGCTTAATAAGTATATTTTCAAGTGATTAAATTATATCCGATTAGTTTTAAAAGCTTTTTTCTTATACTAATCGTTTCGAAATATTTTTCACATAAACTGTTTCAAATCAAATTAATATGTCGCTTTGAAAGGTTTTGTGTTATTCTAAATTGCGTGTTGAAACATTCAAAGTTTATAAATGAATATACCTAGTTTTAGTTTTATGTGATATATACTTACAGCCACAGAAGAAATCTGTCAAAGAAGAAAAATGTATGGAATTAATTTCATGATATAAAAAACTTCTTAAAAAAACAAAGCAACTTTAACTTAGTTGAATTCACATTTTTTTAATTAAAACAAAACACATCACTCTGTGAGTGACAACAATACCAAAATAGGTCATGAGAAGCATTTAGACCGGTTACGGGAAAATACGGTATACAAGTGGAATCAAATAATAATTGTAATACATATTTGTAATATAATTTTTTCTAAAACTTTTAAATAAATTTTTAAAGCATAATTATCATTTTCCTTTATTTTCGTATCTCAAATATTCGGAGAAATACTTTTAATATACATTTTTGGTTTTCCAATTGGTATAATTACAACCATTGTAACTATTTTGTCTGAAGAAAACTATGCCATATTTGAGATATTTTTTGCCTTTTTAAAAAAAAAAAACAAGAATGCGGAGTTAGATGTGTTATCGTATAAGACTTAAAATGTTTCTACAAAGAAATTACTTCGAATGAATTCATTATGGGTACTATTGAAATGAAACCATTGCATATTATTCTTAAAAAGTAAATGACTAATCTTCCTGTTTATTGTCCTAAATACTTTAATTAAAAAAAATGAAGTATTTTTCAAACTGGGAAAAAAAATATAGTAATGTTGCGAAAAGTTGTTCCTTAATTATTTCAAAAAATAAGAAATATTTTGTAAAACTTACCACTGACAGCTTGATTTGCTACAAAAAGAAATTTTTTTTTTCAGAAATGGACTTTATTACGAAATACTTATAATACTGGACTTACAAATAACAAAGTACAATGATTGAAATTTTTTAAAATTTTGGTTTATAGTGTTTTTATATATTTTCTTACAAAATACACAAATATGCAAATTAAATTATGAAACAAATAAAAATATGTACCACGTCGATACGCACTTTAAATTTTAAGAATAAAAACAATTATATCACGTAACCATGTTTCTAAAAGCAATAAAACAACTATTATTTTTATTATTTCTCTTCCCTATTTGCTTCATTCACAAATGCATTTTAAATCTAGAAAGCGTATTAATAGGAAAGTCAATGATAAAAAAAAATTACAGTTAAAATTTTTAGTCTCAAATTTTGTGAAAGTCCTATAAGAGGTGCAACAACATAATTAATTCTTACATCTTTCACCCTAATGCTAACTTTTTTTATTTATTTTTTCGCATTAACGTTCCGAGCGTTTGAAATTTTTCCGTTACGGCAGGCAGTATAGTAAGTTTTTGGAATTTACTTAGTAACTTTAGTAATATTAGTAACTTTCATTTGAAATCATGTGGTAATAGAAACAATGTTATGCAACTGTTTTATATGATAAATTTTACCAGAAATATTGTCATTATACAGTTATACAGTCCGGTAATTTTACCACAATTGATTTTTCCGCTCAGAGCTATTAATTTTCTTTTAATAATTGATGCCCGTTTTGAATCAAATTCGACAAAATTCTTAATGTTTAAAGCCATTCGTGATTTGTTTCGCTAACGACTTGCTTATATAGGTGTTTGAAAACTAGTATATAAGTTATATAAATTAGTATATTAGTATACACCTATATAAGTTTCCTTATATAGGTGTTTGAAAATTAGCATATAAGTTATATAAATTAGTATATTAGTATACACCTATATAAGTTTCCTTATATAGGTGTTTGAAAATTAGTATATAAGTTATATAAATTAGTATATTAGTATACACCTATATAAGTTTCCTTACATAGGTGTTTGAAAATTGCTCTGCTGTAAATTCTTTATCTACTACCGAATTAAAAAAATTTTATTTGTAATAATTCAGGATTCTCTCCTTGTCTTGATTGTTTTTAAATTTGTTTTTTATGCTTTAAGTTAGCCATGGTTTGCATTTAAATTTATATGATATAAATGTAAAGATATATCAGATCGGATTGAAAAAAAAATACTTACCTCCTCCAAGAACATCTATATAGATAAAAAAAAATAAATTTTACTTTAACAAAATTTAATTTTATAGCTACAAATATGCTGTTGTAATTTAATGTTCTTTTTTCTTTCCTGTAACAAAAATCTTTTGATAATAATGAAGAAATAAATTTTCATTTATTGTATCAGTTATAGAAATTCCTTATAAAACTAATTTAAAACTTGAAATATCTCTTTTTCAAACTTGTTATTAAGTAATGGGAAAATGAAATCAAGAATAATTGCAAAAATTAGCATAATAGTTACTCATAAATTTGCAGAATTGTACACAAATGAAGTAAAAGTAGAAAATGAATATTTATCTCTTTCTTTTCTTAGTGTGAAATCTCAATAGTAACCTATGTATTACTAATATCTCTATTATTAAATGGTTTGTTATTTTGTTATACGTATAGTTTTATAAATGTTCTAAAAATACTCAAATAATATAAAGAAATATAAATACTTACTGTTGCCAAATGTCTCAACTAAAATAAGACAAATAAAAATATGTTTAGTTTATTGTTATAAAATCTAGACCATAAATAAATTTTGTAAAATATAATAAAAGTTAAATCAAATTTTAATTTTCTTCTAATTATTTCTTAATATTTATTAAAAAAAACATGTTATTCTAATATTTTTCTAAATAGAAATTTCAAAATTGATAATGTAAGAATGTAAAACTTTGCATAATTTTTCGAAAGAAATAACAAAACTTACGTCCTCCAGCAAGACCTAATAGAAATTTTCCAATTATATATAAATTTTATTTATTTGTTCAGTTAAACATATTGCATATAATTCCTGCTTATTTCAGTCACGTTACTTACTAAATTATTCTTTAATTATGATTTTTCTTTGGAAATTAGTTTTGTTAATGAAGTAACATGTTATATTGTTTTTCATTTATGAATTTTTAAGATTTGTGCCGTATTTTTATGAACTTTTTATTTTTATTTTTTAAAATTTCTTAAAAAGAGCTTTTTGTTAAGCTATAAGCAAATACTTCGAATAGTTTTTAAAATACCCTAGATTAAGCGAATCATATACTATAAATAGTTTGGTCTTGTAGTTTACGTCCCACTCGAGTTAATCCAATGGTTTATTGATTACTGTTAGAGATTCTTCCTTAATGATGCTTCCAAGTCATCACCGATGGATGCGCATACTACTATATAAAAATTGAAAGGGATGATAGATGGTTCTTACATTTCATGGACTAACACATAGCAACATAAATTATTGTTCACTGAAATGTTTAACAAACAAAATAAAAAGTAGCACGTAACAATAATTTTTAATTAGTGTAAGTTTCTTCCCGAATTTTTTTTTTCTACGATAGTACAAAATTGTAAAAATTGTTTTACACTAAAAATCTGATATTTCGAAGTAAGCAAATATTTAGCCTAAAGATCCGAATTTAATGATTTTATCTGATTTAAATATATAGCTACAATGCATTATATATTAATTGAAATTGTATTATAAATTTATTAAACTAAAAATAATTTTGTCCGTTCCTTTACTTATAAAGAAATGAGGTACAAAAAAGACGTAGGTTTTTCATTTCAAATTATTTGAATTTAAGAAAAAATTAGGCACTAAGATAATAGTTTTCAACATTACCAACTTTTATTTGTACCCTAATTTCAAAATTTAGGATGAAAATAAATTTGGGTTGAAATGTAATAAATGTTATGTTTTGTACTTACCGCCTGTGAAGCAACAAAAATTGTTTATGAACCATATATTATGCCAGTTTAAAAAAGTGCATACCTACTTACACACTTTTAAAATAATTTCTTAGAAAAACATGCAAGTTAAAAAAATTTTATTCTACACTTCTTTTAAAATATTCTATGCTAAAAATTAATAATATTTGTTAAATATAACCTTGCAAAATTTTAAGGTGTTTTTGAGGTTTATGTGAGGTTGTTGCTAGGGTTCATTTGAAGTTGAGTTATGAAAAATCAATCTCCGAAAGTTCATATGATTGATGATATAAGTGAAGATGTATTGAAGATGTTTTATTCACACTTGAGGATGTTAGAAATCCTCCTTAGACCAATTAGCTTAGAAAGATTGTTTTTGAGGTGTACTGGTTATTTTTCTACGCTTCGAGAAGATATATATATATTTGAAGTGTGAATAGTTTCACCAGATTTCAACTGAATTTATAGCTGAGGAATAAATTTCTTTTATGTGGTGTAATTGAGGTTTATCGTTGAGATTATTTTTGTTATGAATTAGAAACTCCTTTTTGACCTAAGGCTCCTTTTTTTGCAATTGTCAACCTTCAAAAACTCTCAAAACACCATACTTTCTTGTAAACTGTGGAAATATTTTAAAAAATACACAAATTATTACTGATGCGCATTCTATAGTTTTGTATTCATTACAACTATGAAATATGTGAAGTATTGATATCATTAAAGGTGATAAGGAAACTCTATTGTTCATAACTCTATTGTTCATTCAAAAAAATTAAGTAACTATATTAAAATACTTTCTATTATTCTTCAGAACATGGAATAGAAACGATTCTTCATTAACAATAAGGTGCATGATTTTATTTAAATCTTCCCGTATAATATGTATTTTTTAAAGAAATTTTTTAACTTGTTTGGAAAATTATATTTCATTAAATATGCATAAATAATTATGTTTTTTGATGATTTTTTTGCGCTTACCTAGGAGTCCAGCTATAAAAGGAAACATTTTATTAATTATCTATGTGATGTTATACTTGCATTAAAAATTAAATAATGAATTTCGAAAAAATAAGATTTACTAAGTTAATTTCTCTGATTTATTTTTATAATTAAATGGTTAGATTAATGCTCGCTTAAGATTAAAGTGGTTGCCTTATTCGAAATGTTTGTATAAACAATGAATAATGAAATGCTTGATAATTCTCTTTTCCATTAGATTTTTTTATAAAATTTGTTAACTACATGTAATTCGCCGAATATATGATAGTTAAGTTATTTTAATGCTTTTTTTCTAACTGTATGGCTTTTATCTCTATATCTTATTAAACTATATCATAATTTAAAGGTTGAAATGTGTTCTACATCGAAACTCAAAATATGGGAAAATTAATAGCATACGAGGTGCAAATACGAAATATGAAATTTGGTATGTTGTTAATTGTGCTCTAAGGCTTGCTTGTCTAAGTAGTAACTGTAACTTATATAGATTATATCACAAGTGTCATTCTAAAATTACTACCGATTTAAGCATATATAAACACGCCAATAACAACGTTAGCTCTATGATAAAAGTAAAATAAAAGCTAATCAATTGCTCCATGTTTGGATAAATTTGTGAGAAAAAAAAGATTGTTTCCAGCAGCATAACCTTACCGTTTTTAAGCATAAACTTAATTTTGATGGAAATATAGAGGTCATTATTGCTCATTTAAACAAATATTTATTTTTTAAATTGATCTGAATACCTAAAATTGTTTTGGAATAAATACTTACGTTTTTTCTTATTAGCTAAAAGAAAGTTAACAAAATATCATTAAATAGTCTTTGAAATTTAGTTGAATTCATTTTAAATTACAAAGCTTTTTCAAAGCATGCAATTAGTAAATTTAAGTAAAAGAAACATAAAAAAATTATAAATATTCTGTTATATACAAAGTGAAATTATAACTTAGTTTGCAAAGTGATAAACCTATGCTTATCACTTTTTCACTCTTAAAATTTTGGTCCAATCTTGTCAAACTTTCTCAATTATTTTATACATAAAAAATAGCTTTTTTAATTATTTATTTTGGGGCAATCGATAAAAATGCAGATTAATGTAGTATTAAACTCTGCCTTTTTGTTGAAAAAATTGACTTTTGAAATTTATGAAGCTTATTACCAAAAATTTTAAACTAAATAAGAAATAAAATCTAACATATACACACCTCCAAGTGCATTAGCAGCTAAAATAATAAAAATTTTACAAGTAAAAAACAGGAATGTATTTTAAACTAAAAATTTGTGACTACATATATGAAATAAATATGAAATTAAGAAGATCATTTATAAATCTTTCTTTTCAAACGGTTATTGAAAAAGACTAGTTTCACTTACCTCCTCCCAAAATATCTATAAAAACCACAAATATAATTGTAATTAAATGATTTTAAATACTCTTTTATTCTTCAAAATTACAATCAAAATTATTTTATGCCCTGTTTTATTGTCATATTTGCTATCATTTTCATTAAATATATAACCAGTGATATTTTTGAATTAATGAAATGCTTAGAATCTTTTAAATATATTGATATAATTATTAAAGAATTCAAAAATGTTAGGAGAATATTAGTTTGCATGAGCGATATAAATAAATAAAGTATGTTTAATTCGCATTTAAAACAAAAGTGAGTTTTTTGAAGTTATTTTAATCAATAAAATTTTTTCCTGGTTTATAGCTTCAATTCATAACAAATTCCAGCATTTTAACAAGGACTGTTTGACTCATCTGAATTTTTAAAAAAAGTTCGATGTTTTTCTTTTAACTATAAACTATATTATCATCGTTCATTTACATTTGTATTATTAATAGTGCAGTGATTAGCAGTAACAAAAATTTTAAAGCGGTCTTCTTGGTCTTATGATCTTATGAATGTATGAAAGCAGCGACATATTTTGGCTGTTATTTTATCCTTTTTTTTAAATTTGTACCAGTTAATCAGAAATTCTTAGATACACACTATTCTATTTTTCGTTCTTCCTTACTTGCGTCAGCAATCATCTACCCTCTTTTACATCATTAATTATGTCTGTTAATCAGTGAATTCCATGAAATCCAAAAACTCTGGGCATTCATGTTACCAATTTTACTTTCAGTTTGTTTGCTTTTTCTTCCTTTTCTAATCTGCTCATCAGACTTAGTTTAGGACGCCACATTAATTAGTTTCTTTTTTGTGGTTTAAGCGTAAATTTCTCTGTCGCTTTCTGTATCTTAAATAACTAAATTAAATATTAAAAAAAATAATCTTAAAAAAATGTGCTTCTGCTTAGAAAATTTCAGAAAATTTTCTTTAAAATAATTACTGAAAAACACAAAAATCTTTTTGTTTTACATATTTGGTAAGATATGGTTTAAATTTTAAAAGTTATAAAGTATTTGTTGTGGGTCAAGGAAGAAAAAAAAACAGCTTTACTTGTGAATATTAAGAGAAAAAAAAACTAATGCCTAACATTTCTATAACATATTAGTTTAAATACTAAGATAAGAATTTTTATATACATTAAAATAGCAGAGTACTGTTCGAATTTTCACTCTAAAACTATGATAAAATTCTGTTCTCTTAAGTCTGCTCGCAGTCTGTTCTTATAAGTAATAGTGAAGTTTACGGAAAAGAACGCTTGTAACTTTTACAGTTTTGAAACCGTTTAAAACTAGTATGGTTAAAAAAACCACGAATCTATAACTATATGTTTTTTTTAATCATTTATAACTAGCATGACTTCAAAATTGTAAAAAAGAAATTTAACTGGATATTGGAGTTAGGCTTTTCATTAGATAATGGACAATAATGGATAATGGATTGTTGTTGAGATGCGTTTCCTCAAGTCAAATAAGCAATGGTATTCGCTTATTGTAGCTGGTTAATTCACCTATTGAGAATGATGAAGGAACTGAGTATCGACATTAGGTCGGTTTGATAAAATTATAGTAGTTTAACCATATTAGGGGAAAGCAGTCATTAAATAGTTTTCTCACGATTTATAGATTGAATACCATCTCAGTTTAGATTAATTGACTGTTCTGTTTGAATTTTTTAAAATAACAATCGAATAAATTGTTATTTGACACTTTTTTCCGAGAAATTTCTAACACTGTATAGGGAAGGTTAAAAAAGTTTAGTTTTAAATATTCAGAAAAATTTTGCAATAAAAATCTTACTCTGTCCAGCCTTGTTCACTGTAAATAATTTTAGAAATTTAACATCATATATGACAACATAGATAGTGAATGCATACAGATTACAAAAAAATTAAATAATTCAATATTTTAAAATTTATTATTTAGCAATCAAGCTGCTTTAATAATTAAAATGTATAAACTATTGAACCATATTGAAAATATAAATAAGTAGGAAATTGTTAAAGATATTTAATAGTATACAATTATAAAAATATCATATTACATGTTTTTTTAATGCTAAATGTATTTCTCAATTATTTTACTTTCATTTTTAACTTACACTAAACAGTGATTCTATCATTATAAAACCTCCTCGTTTTTTTTATCGTTTTGAAAAATCTTAGCTAAGTTTGAATAATTTGTAATAAACGAATTTTACTTGGTACTAACTTTGAAAAGAATCATATGATAAAGTTGTTTAAAGATAATAGTCAGAAGATTTTGCTTTTTCAATTAATTATATTACATCTTTTATGCAAGTTTTTGCTGGAATGTTATGTTTGCAATCGTTTTTATTAAAAACAAAATTATATGTTTTTTCACGTAAATATTAACAGCATTAAATCAGCGCAACCGTATTAAATCAAATTTCGTATTTTAGAATGAATCTTAAATGGGTTAAATTCTTGTATAATCTGAACAAACTGGATTATACATTATAGATTCTCAATAAATGCCGTGTGTTTCGAATTTGAAATAACATAAACTTACCGCTGTTGGCAAGTCCTAAAAAAGAAACAAGATTTAATAGTAAATTCATAAATCATCATTTTATTATTGATGTGTTTAAGAAATGAGACATGCGCAAAAAAAGCTGTGTGTTTCTTTAAGGTTTCGAATCATGTATTTATAAATATATAAATTTATGTATTAACGAGATAAATTTAATTGTTTTACAATTGTATATTTCATTTAACATGCATCTGAAAATAAATATTCGACTTGAATACAAAGAGGTATATTCAATTTTTGCAACTTATGTTATCAATTTATGAAATTCAATAGTTATCATATACCGTAATAAGGGATAACTTTGAGACTACATGAATGTTTGTATTCTTTTTATTTGAATTTCTAATTTAAATTGTAGTTCAGAGCTATGATTATTTTGCATTATATATATACCTGTACAAATTTTTTTTACAATGTGATAAGCAACTCATTCTAAGAAGTCGGGAATAAAATTCTATGTCACAATGTCACCAACTAGTATGGAATAACTCTGGGATAACTAATTTGTAATTTTGAAATCAGCAATAATATTATCACATAGCAAACATCTTTAATATCGTGTATAGACACTATTTTTTTCATAAAACTGTAAAAATTTCTAAATGTAAATTTTCTATGGGAGGAGGATAAAAAAAAATTCTAAAATGAAAATATTATTTTTTATATTTATAATTATTTCTAACATTAGTATAGATTCCATTATTGTTATTATTAATATTTACATTGTTATTGTGATTTCTCTTATCGATTATTATTCATTTTCCGAGGGATTTCCATTCCTGACTCTCAATACACTGCAATTTGGTATTGTCTCAATAGCATCGTCAGGAGAGCGTTTAAAATTTTACGCCCGTTATGAAAATTTTACTTCTTGAGTATTTCACCATGATTCGAGAACTTTTTAAATAAATTGAAAAAGTTTTGCTCGCAATTATGTCATTCGTTTATCCAAAGACAATTCTATGCAAAAATTAAATTTTATAAATTTTTTTTTCATTTTTAATAATAGTGAAAACAGTTTAAACTTTTATTGTTTAATTTATATGTAATATACAGTATTTAAAATAAAAATTTCAACTTACCAGTAACACCTCCCTCTAGATAATTAAGAATAATTTTGAGATTAAAAAAATTAAAAGGGTAATAAAAAATAAAAGCAACTCACTACAACAGACAATTAATAGTGTTTAATCTGATTTGTATGCATGATAGCACACTGATATTAATTTTTTTCATCAAATAAGTTTGAAGGAACAAGTTGTGATGTTTAACAAATTGTCCATAAAAATTAAGTTTTTCAAACATATTTAACAAGTGTAAGAAGCCAAAAATTATTCATAATAAATGAAAAAAATCAAAGTTACTTTCGTAGATATAACATTAAAACTGAAAAAATAGCGTTTAAAGAAATCTAATTTTTTCTGCATAAAAGAGCTGTAAGCACCAACAACGCGAGTTTAATGTTCAGCTTAGCGTAACATTTTGTTTCCTTTCGTACAGAATAGATTGATATCGAATTATAGGATTACGAAGGTTTGTTATTACGTTTGTATAAGTATAATTACGAATGAGTGTAGAAAAACGCTCAATGAATGCTGCTGAATTAAAAAAATAGAAGTTTCGATTCCTTTTCGATACTTTCGATTTTTGCTAAACTAGTTGCAAAAAATACCACTTAATTTTATATCCACTGAAATGCATCTCAAAAGTTGAAATTTAATGTGTTAAAAGAGCCATTTTCAAACAGGATTCTTTTTATTGTTATTGCACTTTTAAATGATTTTCTTAAGAACATTTCTTAAAGTCTTTAGTTTTCTTTAAAGTTAATTTAAAAAATATAATTGTATCTCTCGAAATCTTTATTTTATAATTTCGTTCTTGACGTGATGATAACAATTTCAAGAAATAATTATTAATACAAAATTGAAAAAGATTAGATGGTGCCGGATTACACTTATGCGATAAAAAATTATCGCTATTGTTAACATTAAAAATTTCCCCTCATTTCATGTTTTTTATAGTGATACCTAAATTTTTTTTGTGTGTTCCTAAATTTAGAAATTTTAAGTTTAGTTTAATATTTTTTGAATCGAATTATTTTATTTTTATTTTTTTTGGATTAAAGTGTTAGGAAAATGTTATAACACAAATTATAATAACAATCTGCTTTATACACAAAATTACTTTTCTCTCCAGAAAAAAAAAAACTTTTTAGGAAAATAAAGGTGAACGGAAATCAATCATGGGTGTTGGTGCCTAGAGCTTTTTCATATTTAATAATATAATAATAAATATAATTTGTGCTAAAATGTTTATATATTAAATGGGTTCTTAAGCATACACTATAAAAAATAGTTCCTTTAGATTTTTATCCATAAACTTATCGTTGCAATTATATTTATGAATTAGATAGTTTCCTAAGTAAATTAAACAAAGATTTAAGAACATAATATTTAAATTAACATAATTTCATTTCAAATTTTTATAAAATGAGTATTTAGTAACTAGTTTAAACTTACGTTGACATTTTCCGTTTTTGCCTCCTTTTCCTCCACCTAAGGAAAAATTTAAGAAAAAGTTTGTTAAATTAATTAGCTGCAACTCATTTTTTTCCAGAGATAAGAACTCAAAATTTAAAGTACAAGGAAAAAGTAACTTAGTTATTAACCAATGTAAAAGCCATTTAAACTTTTTTTTAAAATTTTTGATCATTACAATTTTACTGAATTTTTTATGCAAATGCTAAATTAATTTATTATAATTGAAGAAACTTTGCAGTTAACATCCATACTTTTTTCCGCAAATTGATATTTTTCTAATCTATTTTTTACTGGCAAACCGTTATTAGGCTCTATCTCGTTTCGTTTCAGAAGTGAGGATTCACATTTTGTACGTAAAAGAGAAAAATGATTCAGATATTTTCAATTGAAAAAAAATTACACGTCTCTTGGAATACTTAATTATTACAAAATTATTAGAATTCGCTATGCTAATATTAAATTATGTGATTATAATTGAAGAAACGTTGAAATAAACACTTGACTTTAGAACAAGTTTGGTATTGTTCACTAGATCTTTGATTTTGTGAAAATTGCACTCAGTATTATCAGTAAAATATCTTTCATTAAACTAAAACCTTTAGTTTTGAAACTAAAAAAAAATTATTGAACATTGACCCCTTTATTCATCACATTCTAGTCACATCGTTTAATTCTCAATTAAACATATATATTTTCCTGTTAAATAACATTTGAGTATGTTATATTAGATAAAAAATAAGAAATAGAAGTTCAACGAAAGATATGTAGCTCCAGCAGTGCACATGATTCCTGTATCAAAATATTAAGTGCAAAGACAGTTTGAATTCGAATAAAAATTCCATAAGAAATAGCGAGAAGTGCTTCATTTTCTAGTCAGCAAAAACTTACATCTAAGTTATTTTTTTCATTAAGCAATTAAAATAAATAAGAGGTTAATAATTACACAAATAATTTTGAAGCTAAACAATTACAGTAAATCCATTTATAGTTGGATCAATGGGTTAGATTATTTGTGCAAATATAGCCGCAATAATGCAAATTATATTGATTTTTAGATTTGTTATTACTTTGATGAATAAATTTATTGTAACTGGGTTAAATGGAATATAAATTTCCTTTTTTAAATTATAAAAAATTTAGTCCTTATAATTTGTATGACATAATCATTTATCTATTAAATGAATGTTGAAAATATAATTATAATATTTGGATTTGAAATGTAGTTGGATTTGAAATGTACTACTAGCCAATGAAACTGCTTCACCACATTGTGAAATTTTCAAGACAGCTAAAACATAATATAGTATGCAAGATATGAAATTTTTAGAACATTCATGGGAAGCAGGTGTTAATGGTATCAGAAACAGATAACAGCATTGTTTTGAATTCTCAATTTACATTTGAACTTTATTTTACGTTTAAGAATTTTGTGTAATACCATGCGTAAGAAGAATTGTCTTCAAGGACATATGCTATTTTTGATTTTTAATAAGGAAAAAATGTTTCCCAATAGGGTTACGGTTTATCGCCCTAATAAATTGCTATTGGCGTTGGCCGAGCTCCCTTAACTGTGCATACAATATGGAATCGATGTGGGTACAGAACGGTAAATCGGAATGTCATGCTATATTTTAGTGACTTCCTCTACTTACAGCCAAAAAGCTAAAAGGAGTCGCAGAACCAAATAATGCAAATTGTGAGAAGGGGAAGTTTACTAGACAGTAAGCTTGTTCAAACTGTTGGACAATGTCTGAAACAATATGAGCTACCAATAAGCAAATAAAGCTTCAGTTACTCTTGACATTGCATCACATAAAAACAGAAGCACCTTCAGTGTAGGGATAAATGTCTAATATTTACCCATGAAGGGTGGCACATAATCATTGCGGACGAGTTCTGGGACTAAATGTGGAGCCATGATTGTCACATCCGGGTTTGGCGGCATCATGGAGATTAGATGTATACATGGCTACAGTGATCTATTACTCACTATTACAATGATTATATTGGATACTTTTTGGTGAGTTCAACAACTCGTGTTTGCAATTCTTGCATTCTGAACCAAGTCTTTTCATTTGCATATACAGAAGTTTAAAGTTAAAACACATATGACAAATCAAAAGTAAAGTAGCATATTTGCAATTCAATTTTTGTGGGGAATATTAAATCTGGTTTCTGATCTTCGTGTCTGGTTTTGATCTACGTTTAAATCTACATGTTTGAATTACCTTTAGCAGAATTAAATTACTTTGGGAGTCACGCGGCTAACGTTACAGAATATAATTACCTCCTTTTGGTGGATTTCCGTTTCCACCTCCTCCTAAGGAAAAATATTATTTATCATTTAATAACAAATGACCATTAAAACGCTTTTTCTTTCAGAACATCAGAACATTTCCATGTTATTTCAAGAAATGAAAATTTAACTGACAGAAATATTAATTTATGCAAAAATCATTGCAAAGTCTGAGCATATATGAATTTTTATAAGACTTAGTCTATAAATGAAATATTTCTCGTTTGCTAATGAGTGAAACAAGTTTTGCAAAATTTGCCTATTTTAATATGTTTTATTCAGGGATGTGGATTATGATGCCAAAATAACTTTTGCACGAGGGGGAGTTGAAGATGTTTGACTCTGGCTGCGAGCAGCTAAGAATTATGTATGAAATATTAAAGGAGAGAAAAGACATTCTTTTGAAAATTAAAATAAATATTTGTAATTTTTTGAATAAAAATTTTCTGGAACAATTATTATGACGATTATTGAAATGTGCATTATGAGTGTGTATCATGACAATTAGCCAAGCACAAACTTGACAAATCACATATTAATTGTTTTTTGGTTTAAGTTCTTTTAATTTTAATCATACATAAAAATATAAGTAAATAGTTTGAAATTAATAAATTACTTTAAAATAATATCAAAACTCTCTTCTAGAGACGGAGAATTTTTTAAGTCAAGCTCTCTTGTTTGTTTCAAAAAATATCTAAAATAAAGTTTTAAATTTAATTACTTAGTCGATGTCAAAGAGTTCAAACATTTTCGCCTCTACTTGATCCTAAAATTTTAAATGTACTTATCTACATCACATTTGTTTTAATTTTAAAATAATGCGTTGATAAGTATAGACGAAATCTATATAGAAGACGAAAAATTATAGAGAAGTAATCGGGAAGCTTTTGCTCAGAATGAAAAGCTTCATAATATTACTGTATAATACTTAAATTTGCATCAGAAACTGAAAAAACGTTAATAGTGTAAGGATTTTTAGACAATATAGCTTATACTAGAGATAACTCAGACTTGTAGGCGGTCAGAAAACAATTGAAGCTTGTATTGTCACCTACGTAAAATTGCGTATTGTTACATACGTAATTGACAAATACTCCAGTATATTTTTCTCTAACTCCACTCCGCACTTCGACACTCCAGTATTTGATTAGTCTAACAAATTGGAAACTGTTTTAAATTTTGATAGCAAGATTTCAGTTTCCCATAAATGAAACTGAATTTAAAAATTACGTACATCGAGAAAAAAAATCTGAGAAAAAAAAGACAATCTAAGGGGAATTCTCAACTAGTGATGGAAATTTCCGAAGTGGAATGGAGGACAAGTCTCTTTGTTTTGGAGTTATAAATTTTGTTTTCTTTTAATCAGATANGCAGCATATTTATTTATAAATTATAACAACTTTTCAAGCATTAATAAACTTATGAAAATAAAATAACAATTCAAAATATATAACTAAAAATGCTTCAAAAATAATTGATACTAATCCATTTTAGGGGGTGTAAAAAGTTTCCAAACTATCATGGACGCCAATGCTGTTCCGTTGATTCTGGGAACAGGTACTAGTGGTATACGCAATAGATGCTATGCTAATAGGTATTTAACACACTAATATAAGTGTTGTGGTAATTTGATTTTTGCATCTCCCCAAATGGATAAGTAGCAAATAATTTCAAAGTAAATTATTAAATTAATCCTATTTAAATATAGGTGCAAAATGTTGTTCATACTATACTTCAAACTTTATAAATTTCAAACTTTAAAGAAACTCTGAAAGTAAAACAGATAAGAATTGGAGAAAAATGTAGTTAAAAAATAATATACATTCCTTACAAGTAAATTAATTTATAACTAAAATATTAAAAATCACTTTTTCTTAAAAAATATGAATGAAAAAATATTTTTATAAGATAAGTTTATGGTGTTACTTACTACGTATTTTGTAATGATGAACTGAAAAAAATATATATATTGGTACATTTTGCTTATTCTTAGCTCATGAATTAAACCTACGGAGATAAAGTCCTTAAGCTATTACATGTATGTTTGAAAGATTTAAATATTTATATTATTTTGATATATAAACTATTTTGATACATAAATTATTTCAAATTTACTTAACACGCGATAGATGATTTATAGTACAAATTAACTTTAGAATCTTCGATTCGAGCTTAGAATTTTCAGTACACATATTCTGCAATAATTTAATTTGCACTTAAATCAACGAAAATTACATCACATCTGCAGTGAAATATGCAATTACTTTATAAATTATTTACCCTAATATTGAAAGGTAACGAAATTATTTTGAAAAAAATAATAATAAAAAAATGCATGAAAAACACAGCAGAGTTTTTAAATTTAAGGAAAGTGCTTCACGTTTAATGACTTTGAAGATGCGTTCTATGTTCTTTTAAATAATATACCAGAACAGGTCTCTGTAAAAAAATCGCAACTAAATTCTAAACTGTTACAAGTGTATGTTTATTATAATTGCTATAGGTACTCAAAAAAGTTATACTTCACAAGGAACATGATAAAATTGAACTCTGATAAATTGCGATTTCAATAAAAATAGCCAAAATTTTGGAATGTCCAGTCATCTACTTACCATGAGTTACATATTGTCCAGCTGTAAAAATATTTAGCAATTAATGTTTGAAATATATATCTGATTTTATTTTTCACCTTTTTATTCAAACCCATTTTTTAATGCCAATATATTTGTCTTCAATAGGGAAAGTTTATTTCTTACATACATAATGCATACATAATACATAATGCATACATAGCAAGATATTTTTGAACAAGACATTTAAAAATTCTGCCCGATGAGTTGAATATTTCCTGAATCAGTTGAATATGTTTATTTGGCTAATTTATTTTTTTTTACTTCCTACCAAAAATGCGAACTTTATATTTAAAACAATTGGAATATAAGTTGTTTTTCATTTTTTAAGTAACAGGATTGAAAATGTATACAAGCTCTCGGAATTCTGAGCAAACAATCCAATCAAGCTTTCTGAAGTTCAGATGCTAATGATAATTTTATCTCTGTAAAGGAGTTGTTTTTAACAGAAATTAAATAAAAGCTGATATTACAATATACTGTTTAAATAAAATTCGATGTATCCAAAAAGAAATATCTATGCTTATCGGAATATATTCCACAGTCTCTTAAATTAGTGTTCAAATTTGTTTCTGTTTGAAGATTATGGTTTTTTTAAGAAAAAATTAGATCTATTTTTTGTGGTTTCTGCATTCAAAGTTAAAAAAAATAAAAAAATATAAGGAAAAATACCACTAAGCAAGCATATCCTATAAATTAGTAATTAATTTTATTTAAATTTTTTAAATTATTTTTTTTTGTTATTCTTGAATTAGATTTATATTAGTTATACTTATTAGCTTAAACTGTACTTATTATTGCTAAACTGAAACTTTAAAGTTTCTTTTTATAGATTTTATATTAATTTCTACTATTCTATTTTTAAAATGTCATTTTCTACTTACTGACTCTATGAACTGAAATATATAAAATAAAGTAAATAATTTACTCATATAATATGTACGCATTATATGCATAACACAATAACTAAATGATATATTAAAATAAATAATAAGGGTGATTTGCTTATTAATTTGAAATCTACGGGTGCCTGGAAGATTGACTAATAGATTTTGAAAATCAAGGAGGAGCTGCAGATTGGAAATAACTACAATGGGTTAATTGCACTGCGCCACTGCTCAGTGCAATTAACCCATTGTAGTTTATAAAACAGCTGTGTTTCAATTTCTCTACAGCTCTCGTTTCTCAGCCATGATTAGTGGTTGGATGCAGATGAAAATGTTGAAGGGACAATTGGATGGAAGTCAACTAACTGTGCTATTTCGTGGTATGAAGTTCATAGTTCCCCAATCATGCTGCTAAAAACTACGCATCCTTTTTTCATCCTTTTTTTTTAAATGGACTTTCAAAATCCTACTGTCATTTTTGGGACAAACGGTATATCGATATATATTGCAATATGACTTCAATTTGAGCACATAGCTGATGTCATATTTAACACTATTTCAACATATTATACAAGTTTGTGGGATTCATGATAATAATTATTATCTACTCTAACTGGAGATATTGTTTTTTTTTGATTTAGTGTGCCGTGATTATTCTTAAACTAGTGTCTTAAACATGAACTTATTAAAGACCATGAATTTAATAAAAGGTTTAATAACTTGTTCTGTGTGACATTCACGGAAGGGAGATTTCTCAGTATGCGTTTTTATCTTTATTATTTTTCTGATGATTATTTTGATGATTATTTTTAGATCGTTTAAAACAAAAGATGGGTGTTGAAATCCACTGCATTTTAAGTCGGCGCAATTTTTGTGGTAGAAACTTTTTGTTCCTCTTCGTCTTTTTTACAGTTAATATAAATTTTAATTATTCAAAACAGGATAAAAACTATTTTCTACATTACCTCCAGCTAAATGAAAAATAATAAATTAATAAAAATCAAACAAATTAATGTAGAATCATTGAAGTAAACAATAGATACTTACGTTCAGGCTTGGCGTAAACTAAAATTAATAATAAAAATTCATTATAAAATGGTAAGTAACATCTATTACAAAACAAGCAAATTTGCAATTTTAAGCTTTAAGTAATTCATTTCCTTATAAAACTGAAAAATACATGACTTTGTAAACAGAATAATGTGTCGAAAACAATTTCAAATAGATAAAACAAAAGCACTGTCTTTTAAAGAAAAATCTGGTTTTAGGAAAGTCATATAGATTATCCATTTTAGAATATTAATTTTTATTATTTTGTTTTCGTTAGAAGTACATGAAAACTATTAGCAGCCCATGTTTTATCATTTCACTTATGGGGCAATCATACCCTACACCAATTTCAACATTTTATTTTTATGAAAAAATTGCCTAGAAATTTACCAGAAAATTTTGCTGGAAAGAGATTATACGTTTGTCTACTAATATAGTTTTTTGTGAAAAAATTCTGTCAGTACTTTGCAGAACAAACATCTTTTTCAACTAAGGATAATTGGTCAAAGGTACAGCATGTTGCTGTACGTTGGATAATCATATTTTGCAATTTGGACTATCGAATCCACCTTGGAAATAACTGCAATTTTTTGGATAACAATAATTTTGAGTTCTATTATTCGTAAAGTATTATTTGATTAGCTTAAAATTTCAAATACTCTTAACTTAACTATTGAAAATTTAATAAAAAAAAGATATAATAATTAATATTAATAATTTTAGAATTTGAACTTCATAAACATAAATAGAATTTTAAAAATTAAAACGATAATAGGAATTATATTTTATTAGAATATTTAAAAAAAATAAAGCTGTATTAATATATATATATATATATATTTTTTATATATATA